TAAACCGGTGGTTAGTGTTAGTGACCGGATATATAATGAAACAAAGTTTTATTTTTTAAGAGAATTTTAAAGAACATACACATTTTAATATACTATAAACAGTGTTAAACAGCATGATCCGGTAGTTATGCACAAGAAATCCGATAAATATAAATGAACTTTGATTTCTAAAATTTACAAATTTAGTAAAGATTGTAATCAATTATTAATAAGAATTAAACAAATTTATTTCTTAATTATCGAGAAATTGGATTTAATTTTCCTGTTTTCTAGAATTAATCTTGCATGTAAAATAGTAGTATTGCTTCCTAATTATAATTATATAAGTGAATATATGAAACAAGGAGAAACAAGGAGGTATGTATAGGAGGTATGTATAGGAGATATGTATAGGAGATATAATTTTTGACAATTTATACGATAACAGATAACCAAAATTATGTACGTACGTACGTACCAAATTATGTGCTTACGTACAATTTTGGCTAGCCATTGAAAAAGACAAAAGATTCGATACAAGAATTCATTAAATTAATTATAACAAAAAAACTTGCTAAACAATGTCGATATCATTAAATTTGTGTATAGTGCCAATAGAACATTGCATAATAATAATAAAAAAAAAATTGTCCAATTGAAAAGTTAACCAATTGAAAAGTTAAGAATCAATGAATAAATAATCAATAAATAGCATTCTGACATTCCGAATAATAAATGACTATATATAAAAATGATGTATTACAAAATCGTCATTATACAGTTCTAATATCTGATATTTTGTTCGTCAATAATTACACGACAAATGAATTGTGATCTATTAATACTAATTATACTAATTACACTAATTACACTAATGATCAATACTCATTATATCTGTGTTGTAATTCGGAGTTCGGGGAATCATTTTTTCCTAGTTATGCGAAAGTATACTTGTGAGTATGAAAGGTATATTCAAGTTGCATTTTAGGATAAAGATTTAAGTGTAGTTAAAACTCCGGTTATAATTACTTGAGATTTTATTGGTCTCTTATAATAAACGTTCTATATAACTATATCATTTAAATAATTTTGGTATTTTTTATATTATAATGTACAATACAGTATAGGCAATGCCAATTTCTTAGAATTCTTAGAATTCATTTCTCATGAACGATTGAATAGTTGAATAGTTGAACAGTTTGAATAGTTAGTTTTCTTGTTTATTATGTTTTGAATTATCGATAATAAGAAAATTACAATATTTCAAATATTGCTAATCTCTAAATTTTCTCTTATAATTTTATTTTATAAAAAAAAATTAAATTATTTTTTGATAATAAAGTATTGCTAGTAATTCAAAAATGCTTGCACTTATTCAAACCGCAATTAAATAACAATTAACTAACAATTAACTAACCAGAAATTTTTCAATACACTTACTATATATACATTTTTATACACATATTAACTCTTATACAATAAGTATTAAACAGAATATTCGAAATTAAGAGATGTTTTACTATTATCCTCATTCTCATCATTCTCATTATTAAATAAATGTAATTGTAACAAGATATTTTCAACATTTTCAATTGATCGTTGAATATAAATAATTGTTTCTTTCATTTTAGTAACTTCAACACTATTCACCAAAACTTTTGTATCCGAAAATTCCATCGTTGAAAAATCTTCAATTCCAAGTAAATAATTAAAATCTTTTACTGAATTAAGCTTAACTTTTCCATCAATCACTGATAAAACTCCGGCTATTTCTTGCATAGTACGAGGTCGAAATTCTCCATTTAATTCTTTGGGATCAATATAAATTTTACTTGAATAAATTAAATCATTTGCTATTGCTAGTTCAAGAATTCGTAAAAGATTTGCTAATGAATCATCTGATGGATTTGATATGGCTTTATGTAATCCAAATACTATCGAAAAATCTGTAATTGATCGATGAATTAATCTTGCAAGTATCCACCAAATATGAATTTCTTCAATTGACCATGTTGAAATATATTGTATTGTTAAAACTGTTTCAAGTTTTAAACTAAAGTTTCTCCACGAAATACAAAGTTGATGTGCTGCTGACACTAAAGGATTCAATCCGTTTAATTGTGGAATTGGATAATGCGGATATGATTGTGTACCATAAAGTAATGTAAGTGTGGCTGTTAACAAGTTTTTAAGATAGAAACATGATGTTGCTCGTTTAGGTTTCGTATCAAATGCATATGTATCAAGAATATTTGTCAAATCTTGTAATGTCATGTTTTCGAATACCATTATATCATTCATGGTTGCTATAACGATAATTATAATTATAATTATAATTATAATTTGTTTGATTGAAATAATTTGAATGAATGTGTGCGATTATAATTGAATTAATTTGAATAATTTGAATAATTTGAATAATTTGAATAATTTGAATAATTTGAATAATTTGAATGAATGTGTGCGATTATAATTGAATTAATTGGATTTAACTGGATTTAACTGGATTTAATTGGATTTATAATTGGATTTATAATTTGAATTAATTTGAAAATGAAATAATTTGACTGAGCGAAATAGCGATGCTTCGTCTCTATTTATTTATATTTTTTTGGTGTAATTGGATCACCATCGTACCACTTTGTTCTGTAGGTAGGATGTTCTTTGCGGAAATTTAATTCATAAATTCATTATATGTATGTGCATATACATTTATTCTTCTGAACCTTATCAAAAATTATTACGTAGATACTACGTTTAGATAGATTATTGTCTAACTTTGGTTAGTAATTTCTATTTTTATTTAAAAACAAAATTTTGTTTCAAAGGTTGTCGCTTACATAAAGCATAAAGGGGTTACCCCTTCTCAGTTCTAACCTAAAATTTAAATCATGAGAATTGATGCTCAACACATCATTGAAATCTTAATTTTATTTATCGACGCGTTTTTGGTAATTTATTAAAATTTATACTTTTGGTTTTATATTGCATAATTAATATACAGTACATAATATTCTTTCTAATTATAACCTTGCGGTGGCGTCAATCAAAAAATGAGTCGTGAGATTTTTACATTTTATACGTACGTATATAGTTTTATTTCTGCTAATTAAGTATCGGGCATACGTACGTATTTCATCTTTGCATATCTGATATCTATTAAACATCTATTAAATATCTATTAAATATCTAACTACGTAATCTATTTTTTTACAAGAAAGTTTTATTGATAATATACAAGAAAGTTTTATTGATAATATACAAGAAAGTTTTATTGATAATATACAAGAAAGTTTTATTGATAATATACAA